GGAAGAATTTGACTGGCCTACACCTGATCTGATTCCTGACCTCAACCCGACAACACCTTTGGGGTGAATTGGAGTGGAAGCTCCGAGCCAGGCCTTCTCGTCCGACATCAGTGCCTGACCTCACAACTGTGCTTCTGGAAGAGGCCTTCTCGTCCGACATCAGTGCTGACCTCACAACTGTGCTTCTGGAAGAATGGTCAAACATTCCCATAGACACACTCCTAACCCTTGTGGGCAGCCTTCCCATAAGAGTTGAAGCTGTTATAGCTGCAAAGGGTGGGCCAACAATATTGAACCCTACGGAGTAAGATTGGGATGCCATTAAAGTTCATGTCCGTGTAAGGGCAGGCGTCCCAGTACTTTTGGCAATAATGTATGTGAATTGAGTCTTAGATTGTAAGCTTCTTGAGGTCAGGGACTGATGTGATTGTACAATATATGTAAAGTCTTGTATAAATTGACAGCACGATACAAGTACTTGTAATAAATAAATTTTAAAGAAATGCAGGTACTTAAAGTGCTTGCATTTAACCCGTGCGCTGCCAAGTCTGTCATCATATGGACCTGAGAGCGGGGGGTTTTACACAAAACTCCTGCCTGTTAGGTGGAAACAATGTGCTGCCACCCGATAGTTTTCACAGCCCCCGGTAATATGCCCCCCCCATCCCTGCGCGGGTTCTCCCGCCGTATAATCTGGGCTCTGTTTGCCCCATCTGTGGGCCCGGGGCCGACATGGCGGGTGGATGGGGGGGGGAGAGGAGAGCAGACACACGTCCGCTCTCCTACTTACTGTGACCTCGAAAGCAACATGTATGACATCCCTTTCCCCAGCTAGAATAGCCGGTAAGAGATGTATTACAATGCAATCTGCATTGCAATACATCCAGTGGAGCCCAGAGGAGACATGTAGGATCTTTTAGACCCTGCATGTCTCATTAAAGAGAACCTGTCATCTAAAATAATCTCACTTTGTGTCCCCCTGTGTGGTGAAAAAAAAAAAATTAAGTGTAAATTTTCTTTACATATAGTCATATAACATCCTGCTCACCCCCCACACGTAAACGCATGTGTCGCAGCCACCTACGCGTGAAAACGTTGATTGTGTTACATATGGCTACACACTCCTGAGTGAGAGCAATAATTCGAGCACAAGACCACTTCCGTAACACTAAACTGATGACCTGTAGGGGCTTTTGAAGCGTCGTCTATAGAAAATGTAGGGTACAAAAGTTTTTCGCCATTTCACAGGCACACACAAATTTAAGGTTTGACATGTTGCTATCTACTTGGTGCCACCCCATCTTTTATATCTTACCAAAAATGTGGGTAATTTATTCAGTTTGTTTGCCCTAAAATTCACTTTTGTGTGTTTAACTGAAATTTTGCGTTTCCTGGACCTTTGCGGTAATATCGTGTAACAAAAAATTGGATCTACCACTATTTTATTCTCTAGAGTGTCTGCGTTCAGAAAATATATAATGTTTGTTGGGGTTTTACTTAATCTTCAGGCCCAAAATGAATTTCTAAAAGTGTGTGGAAAAAATGCAAAAACAGCTCTGGCAGCAAAAGGGTTTTAAGGTAACTCCATTTTCCCAAGAAAAATATATTGCAAATTTAAAACAAAAAAAAAACCAAAACATACAGCCGCAACACAAACCATGTTGTAATTCGTTATTAAAAAAAATTTCCTTCCTTTTCATTTTACAGCAGCTTTAATTTTCTGTAACATTCAATGCAATATGGCAACTTGGAGGCCTTCTGTCCACAGTTGGTGAACAGAACTTGCTGAGAAATGTCAATTCCTGTTTGTGTGATTGGCTCACTGATTTTCCCAGAAGTCTGCACTAAGATGCAAGTCAGATTTCAGGCATCCTGTACAACAAAGATGTCACTTTTGGTGTGAAAGGGTTAATCCCTTCCAAAGGAATTCAGACTCTGAGACTCTCCTCATTGGAACACTGCAAGTGTATCAGGTGATTAATAATACAATAGTCACTCCCATTCAGAATTAGTCCTGCACAAGACATGATGTAACAGAGCTATTCCTTCAGAGCAGAACTCGGCAACAAAGTTTGTTAAAATCCTTTCAATGTACATAGATCGCCCAGGAGGGATTGTGGTGTTTTGTGTTGTTGTTTGTTTGTTTTTTTTTTTTTTTTTTTTTTTTTTTGTTTTTTTGTTACTCTTGAACAAAATACCATTGAGGATCCATTCTCACCAGGGATATTGGGCAGCCTTTGCCAAGCACTAGAGATGAGCGTGGGCATCCTCTAAACTCATATCTAGCTAAACTCTGAACTTGTATCCACGTTTTCCCTGCTTTTTATTTCAGTTAGCTGTGGGCCATGTCATTTCCACCCCACAGCCCTCCTAAACAAAGAGGCAGAGTGCAAATGACCTGGCCAGCAAGCCCGTTGGAGTATTAGAAAAAAAAAACACAAGTGTTTAGCTTGGGATGAGTTCAGAGAACGCCTGAGCTCATCTCTACCCAGCCCATTCCCATTGTATAGACAAGGCATCAGGCCCTGTTTTCAGTTAGGTCACACCACTGTGCTGCAAAAAAGTAGGACAGTACTTTTTTTTGCTGCAGGGTGTTGTGGTACACTGCAGCTTTTCTGCAATGCATAGAATTGAATGAAATGTCACTTTGTGACATTTCAGTGAAGGTGGAAAAAAAGGTTACAGTGCAATATGTTTTCTCGCATGTCACCTCCTCCGTCACAGTCCACACCAACTTACTAAGGCTTAGTTCACACTAGCTTTGAAAGCAGGCATCTGAGGAGCGGTTTTTAACACTCCTCAAACATCTATGGAAATTATACTATGGGCAGTACACAGTGCTGTTCACATTAGCAAAACCTGAAACGTTCGTGTCGCTTTAGAATTGAAGCCTCATGTAGAGTCAGGAGGAGTTGAAGTTTTACGCCTCCCATTCAAGTCTAATTGGCTGCTCAAATGCCTGGCAGGCGTTTGCGGGATGTTAATAACATTAGAGTTTATTATAGGTGTTTGTAGTGCAGTTTTAATGCTTGTAAAACTCCCATAGAATGCCTCAAAACCCTGCATAGGGTGTCTGGGGAGCATTTTTCACACTTGCAGATCACCCATACTAAAGCTCATTAATGCCTGTCTAAGAGTTAGAAATTTAGTCTAGTGTGAACAAGCCCTAATGCAGCTGTTCATGTGAAGGGGTCCTATTGGTGTGTTAATAATTACAGAGCTGCATTATTTGTGCCTCTTAGATACGTCTGCAGTTCAGCTTTAAACTGTCCAAGCCCTTTTTGTTTGAAAACATCAGACAAGGACAGCTTCTGAGTGACCTAATGTGGTTTCCTTTTTCCATCTCCGTGATCACAAAATATGTCACCTAGCCCACAGCTTTAAAGTGGACCTTACTACTAAGGCCCTTTGCATATGCGTCATTTGGCTTATGTGTATCCATCCCAGCATTTAGTGCGCTCTAGACGCACAGGTGCAGTGTTCAACGCCACTGCCTTTAGCCTGTCAAAGTCTATGGCAGGCTGCGGCTGGATGAGATTGAATGCTGTGCTGAGTGATATTTGAATTCAGGGATGAATGCCTGGCACCCAGGTCTTTTAAGTTCCCAGCATTCCTCCCTGAATGCATGGGACCCTAAATGCAAGTATCACTTGGTACAGCATTCAGCCCCAGTCTGCACTAGGCTGTGACTGGCTGCAGACATGCCCCTATGTTCAAGGAGCCTAAAATGCAGGGTCTGCTTTTTAATTGCCCTTTTCTGAAACTCAGCAGAAACGTAAATAAAAAAAAATATATATATAGAGTGAGAAATGGGTAATATATGTCCTTTTCCCAAGACTTCCAACCAAAACACCTAGGCTAAAGGGAGAGAATAGGGGGACCTCTACTTACAGTTGTCCCTGGGTGATGTGAATGGTCAGTCGGGAGTGCTTTTTACTATCTTAAATATTCAGAAGTAAAAGAAGCAGCTCTCCCTCTACGATTATGTGTACAGTGGATAGAAGTCCCCGTGCTGACTGCTGGGATGGGTGAGCAGGAGCAGTCTTAGTCTTGTTGTATATTATGTAGGATTTATATAGCACCAACAGTTTGCTCAGCGCTTTACAATATAACGGGAGACAATACAGTTCAATACAAGAGGGTTAGGGGGGCCCTGCTCCTTGGAGCTTACAATCTAAGAGGGAGGGGCTAGTGGTACAAAAGGTAATAATTGTGGGGGATGGACTGATAGGAGGGATAGAAAATTCCATTATTAGCTGAGGGCAGGATAGGCTTCCCTGAAGAGATATGTTTTCAGAGATTGCCTAAAAGTGAGCAGAGTAGGCGATAGTCTGATAAATTGGGTAGAGTTCGAGGATGGGGGAAGCTCTGGAGAAGTCCTGGAGACGAGCATGGGAGGAGGAGACAAGGGAGCTAGAGAGCAGGAGGTCGTACGAGGAGGAGAGGACGGTTTGGGTGATATTTGGAGACAAGATTGGTGATGTAATTTGGGGCAGAGTTATAAATGGCTTTATATGTTATTGTTTTGAATTTTATCCGTTGGGCAATGGAAAGCCAGTGGAGGGACTGGCAGAGAGGGGATGACAGATATGGAACAGTTAGTAAGGTGGATGAGTCTGGCAGCAGCATTCATGATAGACTGAAGAGGGGATAGCCTGCGATGAGGTAAGCCAATGAGGAGGGAGTTACAATAGTCAAGGCGAGATATAATCAGGGAGTGAATAAGTTGTTTAGTGGTTTCAGAGGTTAAGAACGGGCATATCTTGGAGATGTTGCGGAGGTGAAGTCTAGAAGATTTGGACAGTGATTGGATTTGGGGCTGAAAGGACAGATGGGAGTCTAGGATTACACCTAGTACCCTGGCATGAGGGGAGGAACTCATGGTTGTGTTATTGATCTTGATGGAGAAGTCAGGGGAGGGGGCACGGCTGGAGGGAATAGTAAGAGCTCAGTTTTGGAAAGATTTTTTCCTTCACTGATGTGCGCTAATGAGGCTGCACTGATAGGTGGCACTGGTGGGCGGAACTGATGGGCATTGACAGGCATCACTGATGGGCACTGAAAGGCAGCACTCATATATGTCACTGATGGGCACTGATAGCATTGACTGGCATTGATAGGTGGCACTGACTGGCACTGATAGGTAACACTGAAAGGCAGCTCAGATGGGCACTGATATGTGGCATTGATGTGCACTGGTAGGCACTGATATGTGGCATTGATGGACACTGATAGGTGGCACTGCTGGGGCTACACAGATCATCAGGACACACTGATCATCAGTGCCCTGATGATCAGTGCACGTCCCCTCTGAATAAAGTCGATTACCGTCTCTCCTCTCCTCTCGAGCTGTCAGTGTGAGTAATGCCGATAACCAGCATTTCCATATATACATGTGATCTGCTGTGATTGGACACAGCTAATCACATGACTGAGCCAACATCTTCAGCTCTTTCCGTTGTTCTGTGTCCGAGGGACACCGGGCATCAGAATGGGAGGACGTCATATGACGTCTTCCCAGAACGAGAGAACCGCGTTGTGCCCGTCATTACCTTATATGGCGGGCAGGAGGCAGGTTAAAGATATGGAGACTTTAAAAGATGCAATGGATAAGAGGATGGATTCCTTGCTACAAAGAAAGAGCAAACTTGAAGCTAGCCGTAGTCTCGCCCTAGTGGGTAAGTACTTGGTTTTTCTCTTAGAGGTGCTGTCCTGAAAGACACCTTAAGGAGAAAATTTACACTTATTGGTAATGTCTTTTCCACTAGTCTTTTAGAACAGCAATGACTGCTCACCTATTCGCTTGTTTTTAAAGCAAAACTCCACTCAAAATGGGAAGTTCTGCTTGAAAGCCTCCTCCCCTGCTCCTGTTTGTGAAATTGAGTGTTGAGGGGGGTACCCGATTTTGATAGGTACCCACTTCCACTTTCGATTCAAATGCCTAGGTGATCGGAAACAGAAGTTTTTGTAGCTGCTGACTTTTAAATTTTACAAACATGACTGGAGCTCTGCTTAAGTGGAGGTGTTGGTCTGTGGTAATACTATATATTATTTTTTTTTTTGCCTGTACTGTGTATCTTCCCAGCTGGTCCAACACCCTGAAGGACTGGCAGAGAGACACTTCTTTTAAAGTTTGATGTAGCAATGATTTTCTGAAAAACCAAGGAGCCTTCTCTCTTAGGGGCTGTCCTGAAAGACTACTGGAAAAGACATTACTAGTAAGTGTAAACTTTTTTTTTTTTTTTAAATAATTATGCTGGCTTTTTAGCAAAGGGACACCTAAGAAGTGTACGTTAACCATTTCCAGTGAAAATATTCTGCTCTGGTTTATTCCGGGGATAATGCAACTATACAAACAATTTTTTTCAGTGCCATTTTATGATGACATTTTACTCACACCACCTCACCTCCTCATATGCTGTCACAATGGGTGTAACGCTTGACAGTCAGGTTTAGAGTCACCTCTGATTATTCATAATTGAAGATTGTGTCTTTAGCCCTATATTACTGCAGAATGAAAAAACTCTAGAAAGGACGATGCAAAACAGCTTAGAGCTGGGCTCTGTATAGTGTAAAGGAAACCTGTGCTGAGAGAAGAATGAAGGCTGTCATTGGTGAACATCTTCTGAAAATGCTAGCAGCCTGACTCTGTGGCTTCACTACTAGACACTCCTGTGGAACAAGCAAAGCTGTTGGATTAGCATGACAGCCAGCCAACAGTAGGAGAGGTCTGTCTTAAGGTTTCCTTTAAAGCTGTTAAACCCAAAAAAATGTATTATACTGCAGCTTACCAATTCTTAGATGTGATGGATGCATTTGTTTTCTTTTCTTTTTTAGGCGTTCTTTCCTTTATTTTCACCTGGTGATCCTGCAAGTCTGTATGTTTTTCAACAGAACAAGTTTACAATGATCAGCTTTTTTAATAGAAAATTTGTATACCAAAAGGAACAAAAGTGGTGTTGTAACTGTTTAAAAGCTGTTGGCTATAATTTGGCTTCAACTTCTTAGTGTATCTAAATCTGCTAGTACATCTAACAATCCCCCCAGACTAATAATGATGCTGTCCATGAATTCTCAGTTGCTCCTTTATCTAGAGTGGAGGCACCCTAACAAAATGTTACTGGCAAGATCACCTGGTGAATACAGATGGGGGAAAAAAGCCTAAAAAGAAAACAAATGCAGTCACCACATCTAATGATTGGTAAGCTGCAATATATTAACATTTCGGTTTGGGATTTACTACCACTTAATTCTCATCCCTTCCAGTAAAAATCTCTACTTTTATGGATCATTTTCTAATTTTCATTAAAAACATCTCTTTAAAGTGGTCCTAAAGGCAGAAGTTTTTTTTTTCTTTTTTTTTTTTTTTTTACCTTAATTCATTCTCTGCATTAATGTAAAAAACCTTCTGCCACGGGAACTTTGCCTGCTGTTTGCTAAATCTGGGTCACAGGAGAGCACAAGTAAGTGCACTCCTGTGATCCAGAAGAGAAGTATGGGCAAAAAGCTTTGCCACAGTTCTCTTTAAAGGGCCATTGTTAAGTAAAATCAGTAGTGCAGGGTTCATGAGTGCATTACACCCAAGGTGTCGGATTCAGAAGTGCATATCTCACAGGCCAGTTTAATTACAGAGCTCTCCCATCTTATTAGCCCACTTCAAAATCCTTACTGCTGCATTACAACAAAAAAAAAAAATACTTCTGCATCCCCTGTTTGCAACATACCTTTACCCCCCTTCCACACTCACTTCTGCACACTTCTCCCCTTCCACCACAGCTCCCCTTGCACCCCCTCCTGACCATAGCTCACCTCCGCAACCCACCCCTCAGTTCACCTGTGCACTCTTCCTCCACAGCTTTTCGCTGCAACCCCTGCTCCTATACATTTAAGTTGTGTAGCTCTCTTCCACAGATCCTTACCTCTACATCCCCATCAACATTACTTCTGCACCCCCTCAGCCCTCATCTTTGCACAGCCCCCCCCCCCCCCCTCCACTGCCCTCATCTGCTCCTGTGCACAAAACCTTGTAAGCAGCCAGCTCCTCTCTAGTACCTCCACAACCACATCACATTCTTCCACACTATGCACTGATTGTGCATTAATTTACAGCTCTACCTCTACCCCATTGGCAAGCAAGGTTATTGACGTCTGAGCACCAGGCTGCAGCACAGCACCAATGCCCTCACCCTCCTACCCATAAACACACTGCTCTGCTGTCCTATCCTCAGCACTGTCACCTGCAAACACAGAAGTTGGGCTACTATGTTTACAAGTGACAGTAGATGGTGTGAGCTCACGTCCAGTGCCGAAGGTGGCACCATGTTCTATCTCCAAAAAAGTCCTGACTATCAGAAATGGCAGCCTCCATGTTTGTCTTATGATAGGTTTTCTTTAAACGTCCTAAACCCCAACTACTCCTTAATTGTATGTCTATTTAGAGGGAACATTTTTGCCTAATCTCCAAGTGATAAATCTGTGCAAATATTTTGCAATTGGCTGCCCAGGATTACAGATGTGGTGTTCGTTAATGTTTGCTGAAGGAAAGGCAGCCTGATTTGCATCCAGTGCTGTTGTCAAGTTACTGAATAAATGCCCCTAGTAATTTCTGGGGCAGGAGGAATATAAGGACCTTTACTCCTTAATGGCAGCAGAAGTCCTTCAGTGATTTATTTGGGGATGGATGAAGATTCCAGACTGGCATTTGCAGACCTAGGAGGGTGGGTTAGGTCAGGGGAAGAGGGCAAAAAAGGATAAATGCACTCATTCTTTAAGGTAGACTCCGACCCCTTGACATCCCAGCTAATGTTTATGGTCAAAATAACCAAAGTGTTTTTTTTTTTTTTTTTTTTTTTTTTTTTTACCCCTTCTCACCTGCCCTGGAATCCCTTTTAAATAGTTCAAAATGCCCAATGGCAAAAAGAATTGTCGCTAATGTGACACATTATTGGAAGCTAGTCCTGCTGGCTATCCATGGCACAGACCTGACCAGAGCTGTCTTTTGTGCTGAGAGTGTGCAGTGAGCAACACTGGCTGCTCAGTGATGCATATGGACGATAAAGTGCACCCTTTTGCTGCTGCACATGTGTGGGGCAGTTGTAACGGTGTTAAGGTGCCTGAACAATTCAGGTAATTGCTTATTCAGATTCCTGCTTTGGCCTTATTTTGGCTGATTTAAAAAAACAAAAAAAACAATCACCAGTCACTTTGTATATGGGTTCCACTAGGGCCAGCCCTGATTCATCAAAAGGAGGCTTGGGGACAGTTGTCCTGTTTGCCCTCCATCCTATATCCAGTATGTACAGTATCTCACAGAAGTGAGTACACCCCTCACATTTTTATTGTATCTTTTCATGTGACAACACTGAAGAAATGTCACTTTTCTACAATGTGACGTAGTGAGTGTACAGCTTGTATAACAGTGTACATTTGCTGTCCCTTCCAAATAACTGAACACACAGCTATTAGTGTCTCTAAACCACTGGCAACAAAAGTGAGCACACGCCTAAGTGAAAATGTCCAAATTGGGCCCAATTAGCCATTTTCCCTCCCCGGTGTCATTAGTGTTACAAGGTCTCAGGTGTGAATGGGGAGCAGGTGTGTTAATTTGGTGTTATTGGTCTCACTCTCATACTGGTCACTGGAAGTTCAACATGGCACCTCATGGCAAAGAACTCTGAGGATCTGAAAAAAAGAATTGTTGCTCTACATAAAGATGGCCTAGGCTATAAGAAGATTGCCAAGACCCCGAAACTGAGCTGCAGCACGGTGGCCAAGACCATACAGCAGTTTAACAAGACAGGTTCCACTCAGAACAGGTCTCGCCATGGTCTACCAAAGAAGATGAGTGCACGTACTCTGCGTCATATCCAGAGGTTGTCTTTGGGAAATAGACATTTGAGTTCTGCCAGCATTGCTGCAGAGGTTGAAGGGGTATCAGGGTCAGCCTGTCAGTGCTCAGACCATTCGCCGCACACTGCATCAAATTGGTCTGCATGGCTGTTGTCCAAATGCAAACTGTTTGCTGAAGACAAGCAGACTAGGGACATGGATTACTGGAACCATGTCCTGTGGTCTGATGAGACCAAGATAAACTGATTTGGTTCAGATGGTGTCAAGCGTGTATGGTGGCAACCAGTTGAGGAGTACAAAGACAAGTGTGTCTTACCTACAGTCAAGCATGGTGGTGGGAGTGTCATGGTCTGGGGCTGCATGAGTGCTGCTGGCACTGGGGAGCTACTGTTCATTGAGGGAACCATGAATGCCAACATGTACTGTGCCATACTGAAGCAGAGCATGATCCCCTCCGTTCGGAGACTGGGCTGCAGGGCAGTGTTCCAACATAATGACCCCAAAACTCCAAGATGAGCAGTGACTTGCTAAAGAAGCTGAGGGTAAAGTTGATGGACTGGCCAAGCATGTCTCCAGACCTAAATCCTATTGAGCATCTGTGGGGCATCGTCAAACGGAAGGTGGAGGGTCGCAAGGTCTCTAACATCCACCAGCTCCGTGATGTCGTCATGGAGGAGTGGGAGAGGACTCCAGTGGCAACCTGTGAAGCTCTGGTGAACTCCATACCCAAGAGGGTTAAAGCAGTGCTGGAAAATAATGGTGGCCACACAAAATATTGACACTTTGGGCCCAATTTGGACATTTTCACTTAGGGGTGTACTCCCTTTTGTTGCCAGCGGTTTAGACATTAATGGCTGTGTGTTGAGTTTTTTAGAGGGGACAACAAATTTACACTTATACAAGCTGTACACTCACTACTTTACATTGCAGCATTTTTTTTTTTTTTTTTTTTTTCCATAAAGCTTTTCTGCTGTAAGCTAATCAATGATGGTGTGCCTTAGACATACAAGGCAGGAGAATATCTGGGGTTCACAACCACTTTAAAGGACTGCTTAGGTTAACTTGTTAGTCTTCTAGAACCTGTATGTGTGATGAACACACACGGCTGCTTCCATTTACATATACATTCATAAGTTAAGCGCATGAACAATGTTTTTTTCAGTATTAACACTCATCCATAGCATAATTTTGCTTTAAATTGATAACATTTTCAAAACATGTATAGTTACCCTTCAAGAAAGGGCAGCATTTTGTTTTTTTGTACCTATGGCAGTTGATTCATCACATTATACCTACGCTGTTATAGATTACTGTAGTCTTCGAAGACTGATATTATGAGCAGTAAATTGACTCATATTCTCATTTTCATCACAGGGGTCTGTCTGTAGAGCTTAAAATGGCAAGCAATCCAGTAAGAAATGCTGAGCTATAAAAAGAAAATGTCTGCTTTTCAGCTAAACTCTTGTGCATCATAATAGGACTGCTCAGTTGTGCAAATCATAACCCACACATTATTCGTCAGTCTCAGTGACATTGCCAGCAGGTAGTGCCTAGACACCCCTAGTCTGACAGCTAACCAGGGAGTAGTTCTCTTGTGTAATGCACAACTTGCTTATCAGGAACTTCTATACACTGCAAACAAATACTCACAGTTTTCACCTGTCTTATTGTTGTGGGGTGATTTTATAGAATACTTGCTTTGCGTTCTAGTTTGCCTGGAAATAAGCAGAACACATTCAAGTATAAAACTGTTACATCCCTCTTAAATTTTTTTTTTTTTTTTTTAAACTATTGATTAGTGATCTAAATTTAAATCAACTGTTTGGGCGGTCATGAAACAGATCTTTGTGAGATGGATATTGCACGGGATCCATAGAGTTGAACATTTTGATGGATTCCTTTTGTTTTGCTGATGGTGTAAAGGTTAGCCATACTGCTCTTTCCTCTGTGCTTATTTTTATGTGTTAAGGGATTGTCCAAGAACCCAATGATTTCTATACTTTCCTTTATATGTGACCAGCCTTAGTGAAGTATATGTTCCTAAAAGTTTGCGAAAACGGACAATGGGGTTTATTTGCTAAAGCTGGAGAGTGCAAAATCTGGTGCACTGCTGCATAGAAAGCAATTTAGCTTCCAGGTTTTATTGCCAAAGCTTAGGCTGGACATACACTATACAATTTTCTTTAGAGAAAAATTGCTTTAGATTTACCAAAAACCATATAATATGAGGTCAAACCTAAACAACACTTTCAATTGTATTCAATTAGGCGGGCCTTTGCACTACACAGTTGAAGGTAAATCTAAAGAAAATTGGACAGAAATTGGACAGAAAATTGTATAGTGTATGACCAGCCTTAGATGAACAAGCTGAAGTTAGAAGCTGGCTGCTATGGACATCTGCACCAGATTCTGAGTCCACCGGTTTCAGTAAATCTACCCCATTGTGTACTGTGGAAATCAGCTGACAAAGCAGCCAAAACATAATGTGGCTAAATCAGAACATTAAGCTGTTGTAAATTAATTTATTAAATCATGTGCATGGCCACAATGCTGTTAATGTTTGGCAGGCAGTACTGCCACAGAATGCTGCACATTCAAATAAATGGGGGTCGCACCACAACATCGTGTAATGTCGCCTCCTCACCGCCTGTCAAAGGCCTCTGAAAAGCTTTCCATCGCTATTCGCATTTCAGACGTATAGTAGTGCTAGTCGCACATCTTAACTTGGCCTAACAGAGCAGATACATTTCCTAATCTTTTGGTCATGTCATATGATCAAGATTGGAGAAATTCTGAAGCAGTATTTTCTACAGGAAAGCAATTTCATATTTTTTTGTTTTTTAATCCATCTCAACAAGTGAAAATGCCAGTTGCTTGTGTGTAGGACAGAGTTCCTAGTCTCATGCTTACATGTGAGTGATAGCCAGGGACTATCTTCAGACAGAGGGGTCAGCAGAGAGGGCCTCTTTACATGCTTACTATACATGGCAAGAGGTTGTGTGGATGTGTTGTGTTTTTTAAATTTAAAAGAAAAAAAGGATAACTTTTTTTTTTTTTTTTTTAAATGCTCATATCAAAGCATGGCAATGGAGAAATCTACTAAGTAAAGGGTAACATTGTTTTAATGTATTTTTGTTCCACTGTTAATCTTGGTCAAATACGATTGTAAGCAGGTGTGTTTTTTTATGTATTGTATAGGTTGTGTGCATAGTAAGGTGGCTTCAATGTGTGTGTGGTTTTTTTTTTTTTTTCCCCTGTTTCTGCAGTTCCTCAAACAACTGGGTGTTTGCTCCAGCTGGCAGTTTGTTGATGTTTATGGCCTTGACCCTGAGCTCCTGAGCCTGATCCCACGACCTGTTTGTGCTGTGTTACTTCTCTTCCCTGTTACAGAAAAGGTGAGGAAATTTTTATTAGCACCCGGTTTCCAAACATGCTGTGAATATTTTGCCTTCTGCTTTCTTCACATTACATTTAGGTCAGATAGGTCCTCTCCTTCTAAAATCTAGGGTCTAGCCTCAAAATATTAGCAGTAACAACTATTTGAACACCAGAGTAGTATGTACAGTATTGTGCAAGTGTTCGGCAGGAGTGAAAAAATGCTGTAAATTAAAAATGATTTCAGAAATAGAAAGGTTTAATAGTTTATTTTTAGCAAATAACAAAATGGAAAGTTAATGAACAGAAGAGAAATCCAAATCCATATTTGGGTGTGACCACCCTTTGCCTTCAAAACAGCATTAGTTCTTCATTTTTCTAGGTACACTTGCACACAGTTTTTGAAGAGACTCTGTAGGTAGGTTGTTCCAAACATCTTGGAGAACTAACCACAGATCTTCTGTGAATGTAGGCTGCCTCAAATCCTTCTGTCTTCATGTAATCCTAGACAGACTGGATGATGTTGAGATCAGGGTTCTGTGGGAGCCAGACTATCACTTCCAGGACTCTTTGTTCTTTACACTGAAAATAGTTCTCAATGATATTGGCTGTATGCTTGGGGTCATTGTCCTGTTGCAGAATAACTTTGGTGCCAATCACACGTCTCCCTGTTGGTATGGCATTATGGATAAGTATCTGCCTGTATCTCTCAGCACTGAGGACACTGCTAATCCTGACCGAATTTCCAACTGCATTGTAGTTTTCTTATTCACAGATTGCTGGGAATGAATGACATGGCTGTGTGGGTGAAGCCCGTTTATTTTAATGTGACAGTGGGCGCATGGAGAAATACCTGCCCGCTATTACAGTGGGATAGCGGGAAAGTGCTGGAGTATGTAACATGCTCCAAAAGAAAACTTAGTTTAAAGAGTTTGTTGAACCTAAGGACTCCACACTGCTCAGCATAAATGAATACGCCCCAACATATTTGTCAGAAAACCTTTACTTTCAGAATCAACATTTTCTGTGGAACACTATGCTACAAAATACTCCCACAATCCCACAAATGCAGGCCATTGATTGCAAACAAGATTTGTTAATTTGCACACAAAAAAAGTGTTTTTCCTAACAAATTCATTCAAGACCCCAATGAAAGTCTTAGGATTTTATTGTTTTAAACTTTAGCTTTGCTCCTAATTAACAAGAATTCAACTACAGGTGAGTCTAATTATTCATTAAACAGGTGTCCAGCAGACAGTTGATTATAAAACGGCGTTACTTAGCGAAGCTTTACTTCAAAGTCAGAACACTGTAGCAAAAAGTGATACAAAAAATTTTAACAAACATGGAACTGCAACCATCTCACAGAGACGTCCAACCCATCCATAGAAGTTAACAACTCGAAAGGAGCATCTTCTGATGAGAAGGGTTGAAGAAAATCACCATGCAAGTTCACTGCAGTTAGCTAAAGAAGTAGAAAGCCAAACTAGGGCGATTGTTACCTGTGGCACAATACGGCATACACTGCAGAGGAATGGCATGCATGGGTGTCGTTCATGAAGGAAACCTCTCCTAAAATCCATACATTTAAAAGCACACCTAGTCCTGTATTTAGGAATCAAGCTCACTCTGACTTATGACGGACTCTATCGGGCTAAATTCCCCGCTGTTTTTAGTTATTTGACAGAGATGTTGTCCTCTTGGTCTCACTACTCGCTTTCATGGTTCGGTAGAATCAATGCGATCTGCATGACTTATCTTCCAAAATTATTGTACATGTTTCGAGTTCTACCAGTTCCTGTTCCCTCACATATATTGCATATTCATCAGCGAAAACTCCTGTCTTTCATTTGGGGCTCCTCTCGACCCAGAATTAGCAAACAAATCTTATTTGCCCATAAGACCGAGGGTGGGTTATCTTTCCCAAAATCTTCAGGCTTACTATCTGGTGGCCAATATTGCCCCCTTAGCCCATCTCCATGCATCTTGCAATATTCCCTTGTGGGCTACTGTAGACTTGATGGATTCCCACCCGATACCTCTCTCTTCTTTGCCGTGGCTTCCTCCTATTCATCGCCCTTCATTCCTTAGTCCGACTCTGACGCTTACGCTTCGTCTTTGGGATTCTATTAAATATTCCTGGACGGTTTGCTTGGTGGCTAGCCCATGGCTTCCATGATGTACTATCCTTGCTCTCTCCCACTTGGATACTCACCTTTTGAAACCCTGTGCTCTTCTTATGATATCCCACTGCTAGAGCATTTTGGCTACCTTCAACTCCACCACTTTATCAATACATTAATACAGACGCATTCGGGACCCTTCAGGTTGACCCCCTTTTGAAAGTCAATGCAGACATAGACCCAATGCTCCGGGTTTAATCTCTCTGGTCTACTCCTCCATTATTTCTTATAGAACGCCTCCTGTCCGTTCTTATCAGCGTTGGCAGTCGGAACTCGGGGGCACTCTGGATCAGCGGGATTGGCGGACCATGACCCAAGCATTATCTAAATGTTCTACGAATGTTATCATTCTAGAAAATGCCTATAAGGTTCTTTATAGATGGTATTACACGCCTGCTCGTCTGGCTTGTTTTACCCCCACATACTCCCCGACTTGCTTTAGGGGTTGTCAACAAATAGGCACCATGGTCCATATTTGGTGGACTTGCCCCAAGGTTTGCAGATTGTGGATCAAGGTTTATGCCCTTCTCTGCACTATGTTTCACACAGGTATTAAGCGCAACCCGTATGAAGCGCTCTTATTTAAACTTTAGTGGGCCTACTTCGTCCTGAACGGCAGCTGGCATCGCATCTATTCATGGCTACCAAGCTGATGATCGCGAAGGCTTGGAAGACTCCCCTCCTCAGCTTCGAAGCTGTCAAAAATCAGATGAACTTTATCATGGTTAATGAAAAGCTGATGTCTATACTGTTAGACACCCATACAAAGTTCCTGCAGACCTGGCGTCCCTGGCTTGATATAGCCCAACCATCGAGATTCGACCAGTCCCTCTTGTCGTTATAAAAGTTACATATTATTTTTATTTTTTTTTCCGTCGCGGTCCCCCTGGAGCCGTTTTTTTTTTTTTTTTTTCTCCTTTCTCTTCGTTCCTCTCTTTCCTTCTGTTTAGTCTGTCTTTACGATATTTGTACTGATTGTGATTTCTGCCTTGAGTATCGTTCCAGCAATACTATATCCATATGCCGGACTCCATCGGGAGCCCAGAATATAGAGTATCAATATGCATTCAGTGAGGCTTCATTTTCCATCTTTCCCGCCTTCTGTTTGCAGATATAGTGACAACTTTTTCTTTTTAGTTTATTATGTCATTGGTCTGTAAATGTCTACCATTTTTGCAACTCATTGTTTTGTTTTCCTTTTTTATATACGGCACTTGTGTACGAAGTTTATTTTTTTGTCTTTCCATCAGTACATACTCTGTATTATTGATCAGAAAACTTTGTATGTTTTATTTATGTCAGTCAGTGCATCTGTTTTTGACTGATTCTCTGATGTTATCTATTCTGCAATAAAATTATTTGTAAAAGAAAAAGCCCGCCTAGAATTTGCCAGAGCCCATGCAGAAAAATTAGACTACTGGGACTCTGGAGTGATGACACCAAGATAAATGTTTTTGGAACTGATGGCTTCAGAACTATATGGTGTCATAAAGGTGAGGAGTACAAAGAAAATTGCATGGTGCCTACAGTGAAACATGGAGGTGGCAGTGTCCTTCTGTGGGGCTGCATGAGTGCTGCTGGTGTCAGGAAGCTGCATTTCATTGATGGTATCATGAATTCACAGATTTACTACTCTGTATTGCAAGAGAAGATGCTACCAATGCTCCATGCCCCTGGTCATTTTTCCAACATGACAATGGTCCAAAACACACATCTAAGGCCACTGTTGCATCTCTGAAGAAGAACATGGTGACAGTGGCCAAGTATGTCTCCTGATCTGAACCCAATTGAACACCTATGGGGAATTCTGAATAGACAAGTTGAGCATCACTCTCCATCCAGCATCCAGGCTCTAAAAGAGGCCATTCTTGAAGAATGGGAAAAAAAATAGATGTTGCAATATTTCACCAACTTGTTCATTCCATGCCTCTAAGACTTGGTGCTATCATAACAAATCATGGGGGTCGTACAAAAGACTAGATGGATTAGTTTTTGTTGTGAGCTGTATTCATTTTTGCATCAACTAATTTGAGTAAAACTGAAGATTTTGTAATGTAAGTTATATTTATTAACCTTACTTTTATGAAATGAGCTAAACAAATGTTCTATAAAACTCAGTTTTGTCAATTTTGGAAATTATTGTTGTGCTCATTCAGATGTTGATTAAAATCTTACTTTTCAACGATCCGAACATACTTGATTGTTCCCTTTTTCTTTTTGCCCCCCAACCCCCACCGCCTGCTGTGTTCTTATCACTGCCCAGCCCCTCCCTCCATCTGCTCTGCCTCCCCCTGTGCCCACCCACACTCCAGTCCTTCCTTCCTTCCACCCACTCTTCCTTCCTTCCTTCCACCCACTCCTTCCCTCCTTCCACCCACCCCTTCCTTCCACCCACCCCTTCCTTCCACCCTTCCCCCCCCACCCCTTCTTTCTCTTCCTTCCACCCTTCCCCCTACCTTCCTTCCTTCCACCCACCTGTTCCTTCCCCCTCCTTTCCACCCAACCCTTCTTTCCCCCTCCTTCCTTCCACCCAACCCTTCCTTCCTTCCACCCAACCCTTCCTTCCTTTCTCTTGCTTTTTTTTTCTCTTGTTTTGGTTCAATGCTTTGCAGGCTCCTAGTAAAAAAAAAAAAAAAAAAAACAAAAAACTAATAATAATAAATGCACATTTTTGTTATCTGCAAAAGAGGTGCTTGATTTATTTGATTTATTTTACAGGGGACTTATCCTTTTAATCATTCTTGATTAAGGTATTTCCACTGTTAGACATGATCTGGTAATGCATTTTTGCTCTCTGTGGTATGCATAGCAGAACTTGTTTTTCAACTGTATCCCAG